TATTTGCTGACTTCATCATCACTTAAAATCAACCACTGTTAGGAAAATTTTTTTTTGTCTCTCTTTCTTAAATTCCTCTTAATCTAAAGGCATTTTATTTTGTCTCAGGATTTAGAGGTCAATTGAATATAGCAGATTTTATCAGTGTTGTAAAAATCTGGAGAGGAATGTAAATGGCTCATCTTGTGTCTGGCCTCTGACTGAATCAGTCAGCTATGGTGGGGTTAGGGGACAGATCCATGTATTTACTTGCATGGGACAAAAATTAGTCATTTGTGAGTGTTCACATACTTCCACCTACCCCAACCCACCACAGAGAATTGTAATTTGACAGTACGGTAATCCCTTCCCCTACTCTTAAAAAAGTTGATCTTACAAGGTCAGTCCTATATTTTTATGAAGAAGAATTAGAGAATGAGTAGAAAGGAACTGGTCATGAAAAGCAGAAGCTTTGGGTTGATATACATAACAAAGTGCTGGGAATCAGAGGAAGAGGGAGAGATCGTGAAATTCCTGGGCTGGGAATAAAGAGTGTGTAGGTAGGATGGCCTTTGGTGAAGGAGACACTTTGGAGAGCATGGTGTGTGAAAACATTTAAAGGAAAATTAAAGGGAATTAAGGGGAAATTAAAGGGAAGTAGTATATGAGAAGATGCTTTGTGATTATAAACTGAATTTTCTTTAATGTATTTTGAAAGACCCCGGTAAAGAAGGGAATTTCTTTTAATTTTTCAGGGAATGAGGAGTTGTCTAATTAGGTGTTGAATTGTTTTTCCTTGGAACTCTCAAGAGAGAACTTGTGTTTAGAGAGAGATTTGGGAGCTGTAAGCGAGTAGATGTGTTTATGAGTCAGAGTGCTGAGGGCAAGAATATAAAGAAGAGACGAAGGCCAAGAAGAAACTTGGAGAGCACAAAATAGAAAAGCTCAGAAAGAAGGGGCACCAGGAAAAGGGACTAAGATAGTCATCATATGGTAGGATAATAGGAGGCCATGCACGGTGACTCACACCTGTAATCCCAGCACTTGGGAGGCCAAGGTGGGTTAGAGATCAGCATGGACAACATAAGATCTCGCCTCTACAAAAAATGAAAAATTAGCTGGGTGTGGTGGTGCACACATGTAGTCCCAGCTACTTGGAAGGCTGAGGTGAGAGCATCACTTGAGCCTGGGTGGTTGAGGCTACAGTAAACCATGATCACACCACTGTACTCCAGCCTGGGTGACAGAGCAAGACCCTGTCTCAAAAAAAAAAAAAAAAAAGGAGAAACTGATCTCAAGGAGTCAAGAGAAGAGACAGATTCAATAGTAGAGGATGGGCAAAATATCAAATGCTGCAGAGGCAGAGACTGTGATGTGCTGGAGCCACGTTGTTAAATTTTCAGAATTTTATTGAGCCAATTGTTATGCATGCTATTATTAACGCTTAAATTGAATACAGTTAAACAAATTATATTAAAAAGTAATAAGTACACAAAGCACACCACTTCCTAATTATTTTACATTGCTGAGATGATTCATGTTCATGGTATCTGAATAGTGGAAATACGCTGTAATATTTGTGCTGCTTTTAAATCAGTCATGGTGGGATTATTTACACCACAAAAATTGGCAAACACTACCAATCAGGGCATTTTTCTCTGCAAGGAGAGCCAGTTAAATATTTACCAGCATGCCACTGGAAAAATAGAATTGAAGTCAAGAAAAGTCTAATGGATTTAGCAGGAAGGAGATGACATGTACTTAAGTTTCAGTAGAAAGGTAGGTGACAAAAACCACCGTAAAGTGAGTTGAGGAGTGAAATAATAAGAAATTAAAAACACGTGTTCAAGTAAGTTTGCGAACCATTGAATTAAACTGAGAAGCAGATTGTTACTGTTGATGGTGGTTTTGTTTTTTAAATTACAAGGTTTACAGAGTACATACTATGCTAATGTACTTTATTAATCTCAAAAAATGAAGACCATATGCAAATTTATTTTATGGTAGAACCTTTTCTGTTGGAAAATCTTAGGGAACAAGTTATCTATAGAATACATTTTGGGAAATGCTGCTCCAGTATTTCACAATTAAGATGATACTGACTATAAAGTTTGAGATTAATATTCTTGTTCTTAAAGTTTCATACTTTTTAAAAGAAGTTTTGTCAAGAATGGATGTTGAATTTTACTGAGTACTGTTTCTGTCATTTTTGTAGTAATCATACGGTTTTTTGACCTAGTGCTGTGACACGTTTTAATAGATTTTCAAATATTAAATCTTCTTTGCCTTTCTGAGATAAATCTAACTTGATTACAGGGGCTCATTATTTTAAGAGAGGATTTAACTTGTTAATTAGCATTTTATTTATTATTTAAAATCAATATTGATAAGTGGGACTGATGTTTTTCTCTGTTGTCAGGTTTTAATATCAGTGTTACGATACTCCAGAAAAGTTAATTATGTCACTATATTTTTTCCTACTTAGAAACAGCTTATGTAGGAAAATTATCTCTTCCTTGAAAGCTTTAAAAAATCACCTATAAAACTAATAGCTTTTGGGGGAAGTAATTCTTTGGTAAGTTTTCAATTATTTCCATTGTTAAATATTTTTCTATAACTTAAGTCAACTTCACCATTTATTTCATTTCTGACAAGTTAGTCTGAGTAAACTACCCTTGGCCTGCCTTATTATTTACTTAGGTTCTGGTAAAAATCCCATCCCAGATGTAAAACCATTATGTGAGTAGAGATGAGCAGCCCCTATCTAACGTGGGCTGTGTTGAAGTGTGAGGCAATTGTCTGCTGTCTTCACAGCCCAGTTCTCTGGCTTCTAGAGATGATGGGTAGAGCGTTTATAATCAAATGAATATAAACCAGTCTTGAGTTAATTGACCAGATGGCAGAGGTGAAAGAACTGCAGTCCTTGGTGTCTACTCCCCCGCAGAATGATCTTGTCTCTGCCCTACCGTGTTTCATGTCTGGAGACGATTCCTTCTAAGATACAGCGCAATTCTGAATGGGTTCAGAAGGAGGAGGACTAGTAGCAGGAGGGGGCCTGGGGAAAGGTTACCTAAATCTGTCTGACTCTGACAGTAGTGAGAACCAGCCAAGTTTTCTGTTTGAGTCAACACTTGGAGCTACACACTAGGAATAGATACCAGTTTCTAGAAATCTTTACTTTTTGTCCATCTACTTCTGAAGAAATACGTACGTATTTCAAAGGAAAATTGGCACAAGTATCAAGGAAAGCTAGTACAACTTAATCTTAACCTGGAATCGACATTCTTTAATTTTTACATACAGATTTTGTTCAGTTTTTTAGATTAAAATTCTTTCCTTTTGTTTTCACATGTTTGAGCCCTTTTTAATAGTTGCCTTAAATATAAAAAAAAAAAGAATGCAAAAACCAAAAAACCCCCGAGTGGTAATCTGTCGTAGATAAAGTTGTTTCTCATCTCTCATGTGTTCTGCGTGTTGTGTGTAATGAGCGGTTTCGCTGTGGGTACTCCTTTCATTTCTGGCTAACAAATTAGAGTGTGTTTATGTAAATTGCCATGATACCGGTCAGCAGTCACAGCCAGAAAACATAAAACATGCGGGCATAACACACTGACACATAAACTCTTTCTAAAGAAGAACGTGTCCCATTCTGAAAAGAAAATTGTTGCTTTATTTTTGATATTGAGTCTGTATTAAAAAGTTTCCTTTTTTATTTTTGAGACAGGGTCTCATTCTGTTTCCCAGTCTGGAGTGCAATGGTGTGATCATAGTTCACTGCAGCCTTGAACTCCGGGACTCAAGAGTTCCTCCTGCCTCAGCCTCTTGAGTAGCTGGGACTACAGGCACACGCCACCATGCCCAGCTAATGTTTCTATTTTTTGTAGAGACAGGATTTCGCTGTAGTGCTCAGGTTGGTCTCGAACTCCTGGGCTCAAGGAATCCACATGCCTCAGCCTTCTAAAGTGAAAAGATTTTCTTTCATTTTTCAAATAGAAGTACTAAACAATGCCAGAGAAATAAACAAACAGGCAAAATACATTGGCTATGATTTATATTATTTCCTGCTAGAGTTAACAAAATGGGAAAAATTTTATCTTCATAGTCTACTACGTTTATGCCAAGTGTTAAGTAATAAAATAGCTTTTGTAAATAATAAATTAAAATTATATAAATTTAAAGTTTCAGATTATAAAAATATAAATTAAAAGGTTCAGATTTAAAAGAGAAAACACTGTAGAGTTTCATGTAGGTTAGACTGCGTAGAATGTCAGGTCTCGATGTTGGTGCTATTCAAGCCCTGATGATAAGGCTTTTGGCATTAGATGCTGTTTTGTCTTGATGGAAAATACAGCAATTCTAGGATCCTTGAGCCTTTCATAAGAGATAAGGTTGTGAATCCTAAGACCCTAGGACCATTTACTTAGATGATCTGCTCTCTGGTTCATCCTCTGAAAAGTCTGCTTCGCAAGGGGTGTGCTGCATTTGCCTTGCCTAAGTGGTTGTGGCACAAGACTGTATTGTCACCTTAGGCTTACTAACCATGTGTCATCTAGAATGAAGTTATATTTTATTAAGGATCGTTCTTGCAATGTATAACTTATCAAACATTAACTTTCAAGGTTATTAATCCGTTTAAGGTCTAGTTTTTCTTAAGTCTGCGTAGTAATAGAGGTATCATCATTCATGTGACATAAAAGATGGAAAGGGGCTTCATTCATGTTAGTGATGGAAATAGGAAAGTAGGTGAAGTGAATCTAATACATGTTTCTTTTATGAAATAATTTTAAAAAGATTCTCCCGCCCTGCATGATTTATGATGAATCATTTTGTGGTCTGTTACTTCTAGAGAATATGAAGCATTATAGGCCCAGGGAAAGCAAACATTCAGATTGAAATCTAGTAGAGAAGGTAAATGTATTTGGGCATGTGCGTTTTGGCAGCCTAGGCTGTGTACATGTGTACACATTTTGAACATGTGTTTGTATTGAAAATCTTGTTTCTCTTTTTTTTTAATTGTTCAGATTTGAAAGAAGCCAACACTAAACCACAAATATACAGCAAGAAGGCCATTTTCTCAAACAAGAGTCAGCCTTTAACAGTAAGTAAAATCAGAATTTATACTGCATTTGTATTGAAAAGTATCCCTTTTAAAGAATATGCAAATTATACATAGTATTTTATTGTAAAATTTCCTAGAGAGTAATTTTTGACTGTTATAATACTTTCTGCTATATAATTTTCCAGTCAGTTGGACTATGCAGTGTAACATATTTGTCTAACACAAAACAAAGGTAGGATAGGAAAATGACCTAGAAGTTGAGAAATAACTCAAATCCTTAAAAATGAATCTCTAATTAAAGTCTTTTATGTTCATCTTATTTTTCTACTTAAGTAATAATCACATGATTTTAGAGTCTTATGATACTTTTAATTAAATTGAGATAAAAATTAAGATTTCTTGCCTGGTTCCCTATTGGCCATGCAGTCATAATCTGTGGTCACAAAGGAGAAAGTAGCTTCATATTAGCCAGATGTGCTCCATTCTAGGAGGAAGAATTGCTAAGTTATAGCTGGTACCCGGCGTTAAAACTACTTCCTTCCTGGAACTCACTAGATTGGGATAGGATTTCAGAGGCTCCAGGGGCTCCCAAAGTTTTGGGATATCCACCATGGATAATTTATCTTTCCGAGGCCTAACTATAGGGTTCTAAGGCAATTCTTAGTCCCCAACTTTTTTGGGAAGGAAAAGGAGACATACCACTTCAAGGTTTTATGTAGTTTTAGGGCTATTGATTTGGGTAAATCATGAGCTATCACAGAATAGCTCATTTTCCTGAAATCTGCAAATAAATGAAATCCACAACGAGCAATATTGAATAAAGAATCATCAGAGAGATACAGAAATTAATATAGAGATGTGTATATACGTGGGTTACTATACATACATATGTTTGCTAACTCTGTCTGCTAAGAGAACCTAGAGCAGTGACTCCCCAGTAACAAACTAGATCGTGGTTTCCAAATACAGGCTGAGCATCCCAAATCTGAAATCTGAAATTCAAAATGCTTCCAGATTCCAAACTTTTTGGGCATATAGGTGATGCTCAAAGAAAACAATCCTTGGAGTATTTTGGATTTTGGATTTTTGGATTTGGGATGCTCAACAAGTAAGTGTTAAGCAAATATTCCAAAATCCAAAAAATTTCAAAATCCGAGATATTTCTGGTCCCAAACATTTTGGATAAGAGATACTCAATCTATACCATTTTCCTGAAAGGAAACCAGAGCTCTTCGGAGAAGTGGTTAATTCTAAGCCTGGGGCAGGGAAAATACAAGCTGAGCCTGGAGGATATTGTGGAGCCAGAAAGTAAGGATGTGCTCAGAAGAGTCAACCTGAAGGAGCTCCCAGTGGCCAAAGCTGGAACAATTTCATCAATAAAATAACTACGTATAATATCGAATTATAATCTTATTTATAGATAAAATATATACACATGAGTCCAGATTGATATAAATAAATAACCGAATAAGTAAATAAATGGGGGGAGAAGAACTCTTCCTTGTAGAAAACTTTAATTAATGTAAAAGGAATGGAGGAAATAGAAAATTGTTGTCACAAAGTCACAGCAATAATTGCTGCATGCAACTTCCACTGATAAGTACTAAAATTAGTGAGTGGGCCAGCCATGGTAGCTCACGCCTGTAATCCCAGCACTTTGGGATGCTGAGGTGGGTGGATCACTTGAGGTCAGGACTTTGAGACCAGACTGGTCAACATGGTGAAACCCTATCTCTACTAAAAATACAAAAATTAACTGGGTGTGATGGCGGGTGCCCATAATCCCAGCTACTTGGGAGGCTGAGGCATGAGAATCACTTGAACTCAAGAGGTGGAGGTTGCAGTGAGCCGAGATCGCACCACTGCATTCCAGCCTGGGCGACAGAGCAAGACTCCCTCTCAAAAAATAAATAAATAAAATAAAATAAAATAATTGAGTGAAAGTTTAAGGTGAAACAGATATTTGCATAACCTCAAAGTATCTGCCCCCACTTATTAATTACAAAAGGAAAAATAGTAACTTTACAGTGGACAATTCTGATAGACACCACCTTAACCACATGATCAAGGTTAGTAGCAAGGATAATAAGACATAGTGAGCACATGTGCCCCTGATAGAATGTCCTGAAAGGGACACATCATGCCTTTCGTATTCTTTCCAAACATCCTCAATCTCATTTGACTATGAGAAAGCTTTAACCTAAATACAGACACATTCTTCAAAGTATCTGACCATCTCCGTTCAACAGTGTCAGAGGCATAAAAGACACATCTTTACTAAGGAACCACCACAGATCTGGAGGAGAATATTACCTAACAACTAAATGCAATGTGGGATCCTGGATTGGATCCTGGAGCTGAAAAAGGACATTAGTAGGAAAACTAGTGAAATCTAAATAGTTATAGTATTGTGCCATTCTCAATTTATTAGGTCTTTTTTTTTGCTTTTATTATTATTTTTGATTAACACATAATTGTACATATTTATGTGGTACAGTGTGATATTTCAATACATGCGTAATGTATAATGATCAAATCAGGGTAAGCAGCATATCTATCACCTCAAACATTTATAATTTTTTTGTGTTGGGAGCATTCAAAATCTGCTCTTCTAGCTACTGGAAAATTTACAATAGGTTGTTACTAATTATATTCACCCCACGGTGCTATAGAACATTAGAACAGTTCCTTGTATCTAACTGTAATTTTGTATCTGGTAACCAATCTCTGGCTATCCCCAGCCCTTCCCAGCCTCTAGTAGCAACTATTCTACTATCTACTTCTATGAGATCAACTTTTTAAACTTCCACATATGAGTGAGAGCATGTGGTATCTGTCTGGCTTACTTCACTTAACCTGATAACCACCAGGCTCATCCATGTTGTCATAAATGACAGGATTTCATTCTGTTTTATGGCTGAATGGTATTCCATTGTGTATGTGAACCACATTTTCTTTATCCATTCATCTGTTGCTGGAACTCAGGTGGATGCTGTATCTTGGCTTCAGTGTATCAGCATTGATAATTGTACTGGGACTGCACTGTAGTAGCGGCGGGGGGGATGTTGGCTAAAGGGTATGTAGGAACTCCCTCCACTATCTTTGCAACCTTTCCGTAAGCCTCAGATTATTTCAAGTTAAGAAGTTTTTTACAGGTCACAGTGGAGTCACTAAATAATCGTTCTCATTAGATTTTTGCTAATTTGTAGAGTTAAGATTCTGCATTTGCAAATCTTAGAACAGTGTAAGGCAGAGGCATTCTTTTCATCAAGACTCTTTCTTGAGCTGTTTTCTAATCCTTCTCATACACACTCCCATCTCTGCCTCCACTAGTCTGGTCTCTATTTAGTGTACTTAATACTTTAGCCAGTTGCTTCCAGTTGCAGCTCTCTAGAAACTGTGAGTGGGAATAACTCCACAAAGCTCTGCCTCCTCCGGAACCACATCTTAGCAGTGTTTTTTGTTGGTGACAGTGAGGGTCTGATTTGAAAGTTCACACCAGAACTGTCAAAGTATTTCGTGAAATACTTTGAAAAAAATCTCTTGATCCACCCAATCATCATTACCCAAGACTGGATTTGAACAAGAATTTAGAACTCGTTGTCTTATATTTATTTGAATGCGGAGAGGAGAGAAGAAGACCATATTGTTTCTAGGCAAAATGTCTGGGAATTCAGTGAATACAAGTGGTCCTAAGGGAACTTTCATTCTTAAAGGAAATCAGTGACAGCGTTCAATTGTCTAGAAAATCAATTTAATTTTAGAAAAGCATAAAGCCTTTTAAAATCAAAAGAGCAGGGCCGGGCGCGGTGGCTCATGCCTATAATCCCAGCACTTTGGGAGGCCAAGGCGAGCTGATTACCTGAGGTTGGGAGTTTGAGACCAGCCTGACCAACATGGAGAAACCCCGTCTCTACTAAAAATACAAAATTAGCTGGGCGTGGTGGCACATGCCTGTAATCCCAGCTAAATAGGGAGGCTGAGGCAGGAGAATTGCTTGAACCTGGGAGGCGGAGATTGCAGTTAGCCGAGATCGTGCCATTGTGCTCCAGCGTGGGCAATAAGAGCGAAACTTTATCTCAGAAAAAAAAAAAAAAAGAAGAAGAGTCTGCTCTTTTGAGACGGAGTCTCGCTTTGTCACCCAGGCTAGAGTGCAGTGGCCGGATCTCAGCTCACTGCAAGCTCTGCCTCCCAGGTTCACGCCATTCTCCTGCCTCAGCCTCCCGCGTAGCTGAGACTACAGACGCCCACCACCTCGCCCGGCTAGTTTTTTGTGTGTGTGTTTTAGTAGAGACGGCGTTTCACCGTGTTAGCCAGGATGGTCTCGATCTCCTGACCTCATGATCCGCCCGTCTCGGCCTCCCAAAGTGCTGGGATTACAGGCTTGAGCCACCGCGCCCGGCCTAGCAGACTCTTAAAAGACAAAGTTAGGAGCAGGTATGTACTTTGGCATCTGAAAATAAGTGGTCTAAATTCAAGCATTTTGGCATGAAAAATGAAATGTGAAGTATTTGGAATTCAAACCTGAATTTTTTTGCTGGTAACTCTTGTGTATGTTCAACTAATTTAGCAAACTACACTAGTTCACATTTTTTAGGTGAAACAAGAAGTAACAGAAGTTGCACCTAAAGTAGTCAAATTTCATAGAGATAGAAAGTAGAATGGTGCTTAACAGGGGCTGGGGCATGGGAAGGGAATGGGGAGTTAGTGTTTAATGGGGACAGTTTCAGTTTTGCAAGATGAAAACATCCTGGAGAATGGTTACACAACATTGTGAATGTACTTAATGCCATTGAATACACACTTAAAATGGTTAAAATGGTAAACTTTATATTGTGTATATTTTATTACAGTTTTAAAAACTGAAAAAGAAGTAACAAGTCTTCAGCAGTTATATCCACTTCTTTGCCAGGGTGTCTGGCTCTAAGGAGAATCTCTGCTTAGAGGACCATTAATCCTTAGGAACCTTTTTTTTAAAAAAAAATCTAAAGATGGTTCCTGGACATCATTTACCAACTGGCAGTTTAAATGGCTTGTAT